GCCCAGATTTTCCAATAGACGGATAACTGTTGTAGTAGTGCAAAGGTTGCGTGTCGGAGACTTGAGGGTTCCAACTGACTTAGCTTAGTTTTTAATGTTTTCCTTCACTAGGAAATGTCAGAGGAATTAAAATCTGCTTTAACTCCTGCATAACTATTACAATGACCATCCCACTACAGACCAGAAAATCCCTGCCTGAAATGGCAAAACAACTGATTCTCACACAATCTCCTTCCCCTGCTCAAAACAGAACACACCTTCAACGCAGCCCAACCCTACCACCTCCGCCCTGATGTGAGACTAACCCCAACAGTTCACATCTCCCTCAACTCCCATGAACCGATCACCTTTCCTGACAATCCTCCCCTTCCTCTCCCCAACATGTCCCCGCCACCCTGACAACCTTCAACCGAAGCCTACCTCTCCCAAGCCCTCTACCTGAACCTCTCCATTTACTTGCCACCCAATCCTCGCCGTTTGGCACACTGCCCCAACATCTGGCACCCTACACTCTCATTTACGATCTCTCAGAAATTAAGTAGTTTCAGGACCACTGAACCCTGGAATATGGCAGAAAATGTTGATGTTGTGAAAAAGGAGTGTGGTTTCAACTGCAATCACTTCATTGCTGGCGTGTGATTCCTGGACAGCATTGGATTGCTTCAGCTGAGAAGGTTCCTGACCTGGAAGTTTATACTAAGAACTTCTCTGAACATACACATTTTGTTTTTGTCCAGGCAGGATCGGAAATAGGGTTTCTGGTCCCAGCTTGAAGACCTGCGTCATTAATTATTTTAATTGTAAAGTGTAAGTAGACAGATCATGCTAACTGTTCTGACTGTCTTTAAATGGAGATGGAAAAAGCTGCAATATGAAGTCAAAGCACAAAAATGTATGAAATTATACATTTACGTAGTTCTGTCAACGTGATAAATACAAGGTGACTCTGTGGGCCTCAGCCTGGAATTTGAACTTGGTTGTCAATTTATGAGATGTCAGATTAAAAAGAATTCACGCTTCAATTGCTGAAATCAATATTGGAATAAAAACAAAACAAGTGCAATAAAAGGTTTTATTGTGATGTCAAATATTCTATAATATGTAACATTTCCCAATAAAAATCTAAGGTTTTAACAACCAAAATTCTCATTTAAGGAAGTTCAACTTTACAGAACACAATGATTGCAAACTCAAATACAAAATTAATGACATATTAAATTGAAATTGCATGAGTATGTAGCATTATATTTCGCAGCTCCTTTTGTAAAAAGACACAAGAATGTTCCCCCAGTAACCTTTAAAAGATGTGAAAAATTCATTAGTTGTTCCATGTGTTCGAATATAAATGGTAACAATCTTGAGTTAAGCTTTGATAATACTGTAGAATCAAAATGAACTCAAAAGGATGGCAGAAACCAGAGTACATCTGCACAGAGGAAAACTTTTTTCAATTAATAATGAAGGGATTAAATTCTGTCCAAATGGATACGTTACTTGAGCTAGATAGGCATGAGAGGACTAGGGGGGAATCTGTATATGTTGCAAAAACAGAGTTGGGTTACATTCCGAGAAGTACTGCTTTTACAGGGTCACTGACCTCTGGAATAGGTTCCTAGTATGTTGAGTATGTGAAGTCATTGCAGATTTTCTAAAGAGATTTGAAATATTTACCACAAATGGAAGACATCTTGAGTTACAGAAGGTAATTGGAGCAGTAGTTTCAGTCATGTAGTCTTCTTGAACTTGTTTGATTACCTCTGGAGGTCAAAGAGAAATTTTCCAGCAATTTCTTTTCCTAAATTAGGCTAAGGGGTTTTCACATTTCATAGAATCACAGAATACCTACACTGTGGAAGCAGGCGATTCGGCCTGTTGAGTCCACACCGACCCTCCGAAGACCAACCAACCCAGACCCATCCCACTACCCCAGCCCTGAAATCCTGCATTTCCCATGGTTAATCCACCTAACCTGCATATCCCTGGATACTATGGGCAATTTAGCTTGGCCAATCTACCTGACCTGCGCATCTTCGGACTGTGGGAGGAAACCAGAGCAGCCAAAGGAAACCCCCCATGCAGACATGGGGAGAATGTGCAAATTCCACAATCACCCGAGGATGGAATCAAACCCAGGTCCCTGGTGCTGTGAGGCAGCAGTGCTAACCACTGAGCCACCGTGCCATCATTTATTGTCCCTGCCTGCTACTCCCAGTCATGGGATGGGGACTACATTTAGATCACGTCATGCCATGATGGGACAGGCATGATGCGCCAATATTTTTTCCAGACTTTTTAATGCAAACATAATATTTCAAGCCAATTTCCTGAATTTAAGGTTTCCATCAGATGCGAAGAATCTTACAGGTAGCAACAATACCCTTTCCATTTGAACAATTGTCAGGCATCTGAACTCCATATAAAAAAATCTGTTACAACATATTTGGGATATCTGTCTTATACTGGCTAACAAATAGCTCAGCCAAGTTTGGCGTTCTGCCTCCTTCTTGCAGAGACCACTAGTTTCAGTTCCTTGAGAGTTCAATCTAATTGGAAGAAAATGTTCAGAAGTCAGGAAGTTCACTGATGATTGTAGTGTTCAGTTCCATTCTCACCTGCTCAAATACTGAAACAATATCTGTGCGCTTCTGAAAAGGATTCAGGCTTGGGCCAATAAGTGGCAAGTAATATATTCATCACAAGTGCCAGGCAATGACCACCTCCAGTGAGAGAATCCATGCATCTCTAATTGACGTGCAAAGGTATTGCCAGTATTCAGTCTACCTCCATCTACATCCAAATGGTTACCCATGTGACCAGAAATGTAACTGGGGCTACAATATAAATACTGCAAATACGTCAGCATGTCAGAAGCTGAAAATCAAGCTGACATCAACAAGGCACAAGTCAGGAGTGTGATGGAATACTCTCCGCTTGCCTGACAGGAGAAAAACAAAAGAGGTTTACAGGGCTCCATCCCTTCCAGTGTCTCAAAATGTTGTTTAATGTGTCTAACATCACAAAAGGAACAGGCATGCAACTATGGCTGTGTGGAAAATACTTAGATGATGAATACATTCAAATTCCTTCAAGTGATTCTGACACAAAATACAAGGTGGAAATAATAAATAACTTATATTGAATCAATACCTTATGCTGTCAGGACATCCTAAAGAATTTAAACATAACTTTATGATGACAGATTACCTACAGATAAGCGATTAATTACTGTTTTTGCAGCAGCCGATTGCTCAGAGAGACCAACAAATAGCAAATGAACAGAAAGTCTGTTACATGGTGGTGTTAGTTGAGAAGCAATGTTCGGCAGGACTTATGGAAGCAAGTCATTAAACAATATAAACAGGCATCTGTTCACAGCAGACAGCAGACTGAAAATTGCCAAGAAGAGCCATGACAAGAAAAAGTTAATACATAAATGAACAGCAAATTTGGACAATAAGAAAACACAACAGAGAGAACTGCAGAGGAAAGAAAAATAAAATGCAAATAATTTGTTGAACGTGGACTGTTACCTAAGGAGACTCATTTTTGATCATCCTGAGGCACAGTCGTATCAGCCCATATAATCTAGGGAAGACTGATTGTAATTGCTATGAACAGGCTGAAACATACAGCAAATACAGAAGCCAATTCACGACATTATAGAGGTCGTGTATTTAAACAATGTTATTTATGAAATTAATGCTGAAGGTGTAATTGTTATCTTGTTTGATAGATTGAAGTAATTAACTTTGTCAAGCAAGTATTGATTACATATAAGGCTATTCATTTTCTAGCAGTCAAAATTGGGAAGATAAATACTGTTAATTTGCTATGATATCAATCAGTTCTAGAAACTGGAAAATTATAATCACCAAATAGCTGTGTTGCTGACTTAGTATTCTGCCTGGAATCTAGAACACCCATTAACATTCCACTCATATCCCCAGTTACACAAAATGAAAGAATTAAGTTCTGATGTATCTTTAACATTTGGAAAAGAAGTTACAGTCACCAAATAAACTTCCTATTGAAAGGAGAAGCAGCAGCACACTTGCCATTTGATGCAAGCAGTAATCTCATGTTGCACAACACCTGCTCGCATTTCTAGATACGTACACTATTTTCTTTTACCTCCATGGCAGGTGGGACTTGAACCCTGTCATTCTGGCCTAGACGCGGGACACTGCCAGTGCACCACAAGATCCCTTCACTATTTAATAATGTCTGAAACCTAGTCACAGAGCCTGAGCGATTCTAAAGGGGTTCTACATCCCAGAAGAGAAATAGGCTTAGCAGTTTGACTGCAAGAGTTTGACTGGAAGCCAACAAAGGCCAGAGGAGTTGGTATTTTCACAGCACCTCTTATTTTTATAATGTGATACCACTTTTATACTTTTCCATTTGTTCCTGGGTACTAATTGATTTCTTATGGTATTTACAAAGCACAAACACTTTTCATAAAATATATTATGTACAGCTTTGTCTGTATGACTTTTTCGTTTTCCCATACATTTCACACTCTCCTCCTCTGTCCCCTTTACACTTCTGTCATGGCAATAGGGGACTGCATTGAGTGGCATGTGCAGAACAGACAATACATCAGCACTGAGAGCAGCAGCTGGGGCTTCACTCTATATTCATATGGGGCAGTAAGTCAGAAATGATATTATTGTTGCCAGCACCCTCAGTGTCTTAGGCTGGCCGTTCTTCGTCAGAAGATTGTGATGCTGACATTTGGAGACAGGTAGGCATCATGGCCAAGTCCAGAGGGAAGCAGGAAAATACAAGCCTATGATAAAGGAAAGCCAAGTGGATTGAGAATGGGGGCAGGCCATAAAAGCAGACTGACCACTGGTAATACATAATATATTATAAGTCAATAGACACTAAGCTACAATAATCCAGCATGGTGCTAAATGAATATACTGGTTATTTTGCTTATAAAGATAAATTTACATCCACTGTATTGTGAATGTTAGGTATTAATTTTGGGAACCTACCTTTCGTGATTTGGAATAGTTGATTGGTTTTTCTCCCATGTGATAAGTGGCAATGGGAGTCCATAAATTCCACATTCAAAACGAGCAATTCCATTTTCCTCCACCATCTGTGATTCTGGCTGCCGATGAAATTGTGACAAAGCTGTTAAAACAGAAATTTCCTTTAATGTAACTGAACATAAATCAACATGACCTGCTGCAACAATCACGTGCTGAATATACGCTTCCAGGCATTAATAAAATAAAAACTATGCAAACATTTATCAAAATTACATTGTTGCCTTGAAATTACAAATATATTTTAATAGCTTGTTTTTAAACTCTGTCTTAGTGCATTATACAAAATTCACAGCAAGAACATCTGCATCAAATATAATTACAAAGTCCAGTCAGTACTGTGGCATGGAATTAGAATTCACTTTTTTCAGTGACACTGTGATATAACATCAATAAAAATTTATCATTTTGGCAACATATCTGAAGAAAAATAATATTTTTGACAATTAAAGAATCAGTCAACAGGTCCTTACACACATATAATATTTTTACACTTTAGGAACAGATTAGAGTCCATATTATTCAAATGCTTAAGTGATTGATTTAAGACCATAGGACACAGGAGCAGGATGGGGCACTGCTCCACCATTTGATCATGGCTGTTATGTTTCCCAAACCCATACTCCTGACTTCTCCCTAAATAATCAAGAACCTATCTATCTCTGTCTTAAAGTCACTCAATGATTTGGACTCTACAGCCTCCTGTGGCAATGAGTTCCACCAATTCACCACCATCTGGCTGAAGAAATTCCTCCTCATCTCAGTTCTAAAGGGTCGTCCTTTCATTCTGAGGCTGTGTCCTCAGGCTCTAGTCTCTGCTACTGCTCGAAACATCTTCTCCAGGTGCACTCTATCCAGGCTTCTCAACATTCTGCAAGTTTCAATCAGATCCCTCCCCCTCCAAAATATTTCCAAACTCCATCAATTACAGACTTAGTCCTCAACCGCTCCTCATATGACAAGTGCTTCATTCCTGGGATCATTCTTGTGAACTTGCTCTGGGTCCTCTCTGAGGACAGCACAACTTTCCTTAGAAATGAGTCCAAAACTGCTCTCAATGTTCTAAATGCAGTCTGACCAGAGATTTTTGCAGACTCATTGTTTCACAAGTATTTTAGTAAACTAGAAGAGTTTCTGCATGTTTGTGTAATTTTGGCACTCTGAACTGCTCTCTCTTAAAGTTTATGCACTAAACTTGAAGTTTTGCTTGTTATATGTTTGCCACTTACAGTGGCAGTGAGAAGAATAATTTATGATAAATGAACTGCAAAAAACAAATCTATAAAGTTCAAGTGCATATTTTTTACATTAGAAAAAGTGCAGTGACGAGGTTATTTTGAAACATTTTAAAGTTACCAAGTTGAGAAGCTAATTGAAGAACATAGATGATGCTATTACAAACTCTCCCACTTCAGAATAAAAATAACTTTCTAATTAACAGTAAGCAAACTATTCATAATAAATACCTACTCGTCAAGCACAATCATGTAAAACAAAATTCAACTGCTGTGCAGGAAAGAAGCTAAAATACGACACAAGAAAGAATAGAAATATATTCCTTCATCAAAAGTATAGGGACCACATTTTCAAAAATGTTAAAATACTGTAAATTATTGTTGAGTAATATTTAACATATTTGTATGACATCACCCTGTTTACAACTTTTACAGATAAATGAATAGTTTATTTTAAATAAATTATAATATAAATTGAAAAAGTGGACTAAGGAAGGTAATACAAATGTGTTAATTGCTCATTCAGTATTGTTAACTGAGGTTTCTCACACCAAGCCTCTAATTTTCAATAACATTATTATTATAAACTGCATAATCTGATGGCTGTGCTATCAGTTGAACCACTGTTGGGAAATTCAACCTAATCCTAGCTACTATGTGGCACAATAATACGCTTCTATATTACTACTGTTTTTTTAAATTATGACAGTGTTTTCTGTGTGTTATAGCCAAAACACATTAAATAAGAAAAAGAAAATCAAGGCCTAGCTAAGTTCTGCATGCAGACTGAATGGGTTTCTATATACCAATTTATGAGCTTATGGTTTTCATTGGACATTTCCAATTATAACCAATGGCTTTACTAGAATTGGTACTGACTGTGTGACTAGTCAGGGAAATTATTCACAAGTGAATAACATACATGAGTTCATGTCAGCACAGTGAAATGACTTCCTTGAGGGAATGAGAAAATGTCACTTTTTGTTTAGATTTAGAAAAACAAATACGCATTACCCAACTCACTTTTAGAAAACAAGGAAGTCTGTAGAAAGAATGTAAATCTACCCTGATCACAACGGTCTTTTTTTCATTATACTGTATTTTTACGAGTTACTTTTACACAGTAATACCTTCTGACAATTGTATATAACATATAATAGTGTATTAAACATAAAAACATGATTTGGGTCACAAGTATGGTATGGTTGGTGCTAAGTCAGCTTCAGAAAGAGAACATGACATTGTACCTGAACTGCTTAAAAGTTATACTTGGGATTTTAAGATGCTAAAATCTTTCAATGTCATCTTTCTGCAACAGATAATTATAGAAGCAGCCTCTACAACTGCAATTTGTAAAAATACACCAATATCTGTATGTGAACTTGAGTCACTACAGCAACAGCAATGAGAGAGCTTAGCTTGAAATGTACTCCTTGTAAAAAACCTGAAATTTTGCCCTAAGCTGATATCTATAATAGATTCACATCAACATTTTTTCAAGATAACTTTATCTACATTTGCTCTTTAGAACATTGCAACACAACATAACTTGTTGATTAAATCCCATGTCAAAGTCATGCTTGAACTGATCCCAAAGCAGTAAACCCTAGATGACTCTTCCTCTACTTTTGCTTCCATTTTGAGAAGTACATAGAGATGCTGTTAGGAAGTTGCAGATACTAAGATCAGGAATTTACTGCAATGAGAAACATGAAGCCGCATGCTACAATGTCATCCTAAAATATACAGCGACCCATTAGTACTTTGTTAGATATCTGATTCTTGTTCATTGTTCTACCTCATATCATGTAACTAACTGCAGTCATCCGTATATTTGTCAGTGCAGAGAAATCATCTGTAAAGTAACTTACTGTGAGTACACATACATACTTTGGTTTTGAAGAGAATATAATAGATTTTGTGCAGCACCATATAAGTCTGCATATACAGGCAACGCCACAGCTAGATGGAGTAACAGACAAGCATATGTAGAAATGCAGCTTTGGAGTACAAGGTTATTTGACAATTATTTTAATTCAATCCTGCTTCCATATAAAAGTTGAAAACATTTATCAGCATGTTATACTTGGCTCTAATGAAATTACTTCTCCATTTAAATACCCATTGCGGAAGTTTGTTAATAATTATTCTGTCTTCTGCTTTTTGTTCCATTCATCCTCTGTACTAACTCTACCCTGAATATGGGATTGCAAATTTTAAACTGCCCTCTGCTGCCCAAATACATGTTTATGTAAATAGTGAAAGACACTATTCTCAGCATTGCTCCTTGAGGGACATCAAATCACATGATCCACCAATCTGATCAAACAGCTTTAAGTTCTATTATCCATTTTCTGTACTTGCAGACAGTTGCTGTCTATTCTGATGCATTTTTGGGACTGGTTGCAGATTTCCAGTTGTTCACAGTGTCTGTCCTCCATACTCATGTGTAACCGCATATACAGAGATGGATCTCAGCGACCATTTTTACATTGGAAACATATACTTGGTTCTATTAATTGAGGCATACGAAATCTTTAAAGTCAGCATCCCCAAGTAAACAAAATACCAAACTGTGCAAAATAATCTAAGGTTACTCTGAAAATACCTCGTCAAGTCCTAAACTATGTTGTTACTTCAATATAAGATCTTGCCATCTCCAGAAAGGTTTTCACTACTGAAAAGTCTACTTGAAATGCCATCTTTACTATTCATTCCATAGGTGCTGACTGATCCAGTTTCATCAGCAAAGTAGGTTAAGTTTCTTGATCACAATTTATTTCAAAATTGCAATTCTGGTTCTTAATTGTATGTTTTTATTATTTTCCTACCTTGAAAAGAAGTCATGATTTTAGTCAGTATCTGGTTGGACTAAGTCAAATAACAGCATCCACTATACCTGACATTACATTCAAGCTTTGTTGATAGAATTCAAATCTACATAATTTGAAAAAAAGGGAGGAGAAAAATAAAAGTAATTCTTCTATTGTAGTCAAACCAATTTGGTGTCATAAAAAACCGAAAGAACTGCGGATGCTGTAAATCAGGAACTAAAACAAAGTTGTTGGAAAAGCTCAGCAGGTCTGGCAGCATTTGTGAAGGAAAAAACAGAGTTAACCTTTTGGGTCCAGTGACCCTTCCTCAGAACTCATTTGATGTTATAGTTAAGTACAAAATACAGAAAGTGTTAAGCCACCAAGCCCCCCTGCTTATTCCTTCAGGCATTCTCCGGTGGCATTGTAAGTGTATCCAGTGACTAGGTGAACTATAGACTCTAGGAAAACACTAGATTCAATACCCAATTTGTCTCAAATTAACTCCTTCCAATCGGGGTCTGGCAATAAGGGGCAAATAGGTCAAATTTCTTGATCACAATTCAGTAACCTCTACTGAAACAATGTAAGTGTGAATATCAGATGAGAACAGGATCACATTGGCTGTGATGCTCCTGAAGTCACATAATCAGCCTGCACTCTTAAATCTGGTTCATTTACACAAGGCCATCTGGTGAGGAATTATGGAACATTCATGCTCGAGTAGCCATATCCTAGCAATGAGCCTTCAAAGTACAAACATAGGGAAATTAGCAGCAAATTTATGAGATTTGATCAAGAATTTATTTCGAGAAAAATTCTTCAGAGTCACTACAAAGAGAAAACAGATAAAACTCTAGATTCACTCTGATCTTACATCCTTCATTTAAGCCTGACTAATATTAGCTTTCTTTTGCACAATACTGTGCTATCATGGTGATAAAACCTTAGCAGCAATTATGTCCAAACCATTTCTAGTTATTCAATTCACTTACCCATTTCTTTCAAACCTATTTATCATCAGACATTCAGAGGAA